ATCCCCTTCTTAACTGCTATCTCGGCCATCCGTTTAGTTCGTATCCTTATACGATTTGCTGTATCACGTCTAACTTGTTGTTTCCCCATCTTCCTTGATTTGAGAGTGACATTACGACCCGATGGCAGCAGGTATTTTTGGTATTTCTATGACATGAAATTTTGCAACATAATTTTGCAACATGTCTGCCCTGCTAGCTTTTTCGGTAGATTATGAAAATCGGGGTCATACGGTCCTTGATTATATTGCGTCATCTATTTAAAACCAATAGTCTCGAAAATGTTTAACAACTACCAAGAACGCACGAATTATCACCCTTGCACTGGTATTTAAAGCATTTATCACAATATGGTGATAAATGCAATTTATAACTTTAATTAAAAATATTTCAGTAAAAGATTTGTAACATTGCAAGATTCTTTTTAAAAAACATCATAGTTCCCTTATCATAAATCTATCTTAAATGCAGTTAAGTTATAAAAGAGGATTCCTTAACTATTGTTGTGTGTACATATATTGATTAGTTCGTAGTTCGTACGTTGATTGTTCCTGATTTGATCTATTTATCACAATACTTACACTTCACGACAGACGTTGAATTAGAGTTCATGGTGTTGAGACTTGGCTGGGTCACCGATACACTCGTACTTGGAGTTAGTGTGGTAGATCTGATTTCTACAAAAAACATAATGGACATACGTTGATTTGTTTTCAGCTACTATAATGTTTCAGAATATTTTCTTTATCTAAACAAAAAAATACTTTCTTTGGTTTTTAGTAAAGGAAAAATCTGCAATAGCAACTAGCTTAATTCCCACACTAAAACAATAAAGACATTTTATATAAAGTAGGAGAAAGTACGTTAAATATTATATCATTGATACAATGGACTTTGTATGTATACCACTGTATGTTTCATTGGTAGAGGAGCTACTGTTAAAAAATCTATTCAAATGGCTTCATAGCAATGTAACATGGTGAGTGTGTTCAATGTTCTTTATTCCATTTATGAAGAAACAAGCTGACAATGTTTCTAAGAAAGGGGTATATGTGGCGTTTACAGCATATGTGGCGTTTACAGCAGTGGTTCATTAATGCATATTCACTCTTGATAATTTTCCACCATGGCTAGGAAAGCACAAGAAATGACCAGCATGCAACAGAGTGTCCCATGTGATATCATCAAAATATTCACAATTATTTCCAAGCTTAACTTTTTCATATATAAAATACTTTTAATAAGAACTTAAAATAATAACAATTGATAAAAAAAATAACCATTTCAGTAAATACCACAAAACTAAATCCAATACAATTTCCAGTGTTATGTAAAATGATACAATGTAAACAAACCAACTCCCGAAAAATCCAACACTTTATTTTTTATATAAACAAAATGATAGAATTTTCAACATAATTTTTCTCCTTATAACATATCTCCCCCCCTTTGACATTGCTGTCCCCAGCAATGTAAAAAAAATACAGCCGTAGTACAGTGATTCACATGTTAAGCACTCAACAAAAAAATTACATGTAAAATTCTATCTGTACAATTTCCATCAATAAATTTTCAATATTAAATATTAAAAACAACTATTTCTGTCCATGTACATTTGCCCACGATTGGCTTAGCGTTGCACTCAAAGACTTTCCTAAAGATGCACCTAAATTAGCTACGGCATCACTGAGTTCACTAATGTTTTTATCATCCACTGAAGAAACACGAACTTCCTTACACGAAACAAGGGCACTTTTAGGCAAATAAAACGATTGGAGTGTTTTTCTGCTGTTGAACGCGATGAACGTCTATATACAGTCTGTTCCATTTCATCTTGACCGTCCTCGTCACTCAGACCACTAGAGGTGTCAGATTGAAACATTTCTCCTATCGGAGGGGTTTCTAGTTGTGCTTTGATGTCCATAGGCTGGACAACAGTCACATCATCAACATCGCTATCTGACTTGTCGTCTACTTCATCACCTGTATCAAAAATCTCTGTCCTTGTTACGTTTCTCGTTGGTCCATTCCCGTCTGCAAGTTGGATCGTGTATACATTTCCTCCTGGCCTTGCAACCACCTTGTAGGGTATGGATGACCACATGTCCAGAAATTTGTTTCTCCCTAACACACGATTTCACAATAATACTCTCGTGCCAATCTTGATTGGTACCTCTTTAGTATTCCTGTTCTGAATCTCTTTTCTACGTTGACCATTTTTTTTCTGTATTTGTAGCTGCTGAATGCAAAGCTTCACTAAGTCTTTTCTTATGTTTATTAATCCAGTCGTCTATGGTGGAAGCGTCGGACTCCGACTCTGCATGAGTTCCAAGAAGAAATCTATGGGCAATGTAGGTTCACGGCCAAAAAATAAGAAGTAAGGAGAAAACCCTGGCAGATATTCCGTCCACCTTTTCTTGTGTTCATTAGTAAGAGTGCGTAGTCGATCATGCATGGTCTGATTAAATCGTTCGCACTGTCCATCACTTTCGGCATGATAGGGGGTAGTTCTTGATTTCTCCACACCGTAAATTTTACAGAGCTCTTGTATGACTTGCCTTTCGAAGTTGTGTCCCTGGTCGCCGTGTATTCTGCGCAATATCCCATATCGTACGAACAATTCCTTCACAATCGTTTTAGTTACTATCACAGCTTTCTGGTCCCTTGTTGGTATTGCCTGGGTGAATTTTGAAAATATATCTGTCATCACCAAAACGTTTTTCCGGCCATCCGTTGACTTCTCGAGTAGAGTGTAGTCAATTGCCAGTATCTCCATAGGACGAGATGCAATGAGATTTCCCATTGGTGGCTTTATACTTGGCATGAGTGCTTTTGCAATCATGCAACGTTCACAGTTCTTACACCACTCTTCTGCACATCCTGAGCCATTCGTATCCAGAAACACCTTTTGCGTAGTAATGCCAATGTCCTTTCCACACCTTGATGTCCTGCGTGATCATGCACACTTTCCAACACTTTGTCTTTCAGAATTTCCGGTAGCAGAATTTGTTTGATTTCACCAGTCTCGTCAATACATCTCTTGAGTAACACATCCAATTTTACTGGAAATGATGAAGAGTCTGCAGTCTGATCTTAACTCTTATGTTCTGATCATGTTCACTCTCTTTCACAATGTGTCTTATCACAAGCTCAGTATCTAGTAAAACTTTGACTTTGTACTCATCTTCTGATGAATGAAGCAACTCTGCACTGTGCACTACACCTAATCAAGTCTTTGGTGTCAACCACATATCCTCATGTCCAGTGTTCATCAATTTCACTGGTACTGTCCCATCTTTCATTTCAATGAATATGTCCAAAAATAAGATATTTTTGAGTAGAGAGCCATTTTCACTTGATATTGCTTGAACTACTGCGGTTTGCGGTACAGATGACTTCCTTCTTCTATTTGAACCAAATACCACTTTCATCGAATTTGCTTGAATTTTCACTGATTGTTGTGCTGCCAATTTCACAAATCCAATCTGTATGTTTTCCTCATCTACGTTTTAGATAAACATTACATCGTTCCAAACAGTTTCTTTTGTTGTCAAAGGTTTCTAACGTAAGTGTTTCCTGTCACATTGGAGAACGTTGCATCCTAAGTTGTACTGGGTCACTACTATTAGTCTCACATTCCACATTTGTACACACAGTTTCCTGTATTTTCAAAGTAACTTCAACATATCCAAGATGCGGAATATTCAGCTTGTTGGCTGCGGATAGTTTTACAATTTTAGAAGTATCACTGAGTTTTGATGAAGACAAGTGTTTTTAGGTCACCTAAGTTTACTATCTATTGCTATCTGTTTTCGTCCGTCGTGCGTTAACATTTGAACATTTTTAGCTTCTTCTCTGGAACCACTGAACCAATTTCAGCCAAATTTGGTATACAGTATTTATGGGTGAAAGGGAACAAAAGTTATGAATTTCATAGTCCCTGCCCCCCTCCTCCTCCCTGGGGCCTAATTGGTGGGGCAAAAACCACTAAAATTAATGCAATCTTTAAAAATCTTCCTCTTTACTCCTGGACATCAAGCAGTCAAACTGTTTGCAGGATTATAATCATCATTGAGTCCTCTACCAAAATTGTGAAATTCATGGCCCAAGGGTCAGGGGTTCTAGTGCTAGGGCGGGGCTAAATAAATTATATAGTGAAATTGCATAAATTCTTTGAAAATCTTCTACTCTGCTCCTGGGCATTAAATAAACTAACCAAGTACAAAGTTACGTTGAATAAGGCTGCCTCTACCAAAATTGTGAAATTCATGGCCCCTGAGTCAGGGGTTGTAGTGCAAGGGTGGGGTTCTATTCATTATATAGTGAAATTGTATAAATTCTTTGAAAATCTTCTTCTCTGCTCCTGGGCGTTACATAACAGGGATGGGGTATTTAATAAAAAAAACTATCCAAGTACATAGTTACGTTGAATAAGGCTAAATTGAAAAAAATGTTCATCCTACTCCCCAATACTCCCTAACGGTTTTATGACAGAAATTAATGTTTTACGGTGTGACCGTTGGGGCGAGCGCAATTAATTACTATCAAAAACATATAATGTACATACTTAGGCAAAAAAAAAATTAATTTCTTGGTTCTCAGGCCCTCCCTCATCTCTTCCCAAGGGTGCCTCATTGACCCTTTTTATTGCTAAACCAATAAAATAAAAATCACCTCCCTCATTATTTTTTGAGATTTTGTACAATGTAAGAAGCTGCTTCATCATGTTTTGGGGCAATAAAAAAGTAAAAAAGAATGCCTCCCCCCCTCATCATATTTCTTGAAAAAAAGGCCTGAGAACCAAGGAATTAACTTTGCATGGCCGTAGTCTAGTAGCTTTTACTTGCACTGTCTATTCTCATACAATTTATTTCAAAAAGAGAAGAAAAAATATCAATCTCTTCCCTGGCATCGAGGTCCAGATTCCGAACCCGAGCCGTTGAAGTGACGAAAGTATAACGTCAGATAAAAAGTCCCGTTGACTTAGGACGAAACAATAGAT